TGAAGATAAACACAACATTTGAACCACATAACAGCATAGTTTTAAACCACTGGGTGCTCTCGAATCCAGTTCAACCAGCAAGGGTTTGGCTAGATTGTTACTCATTACTGAGCAAACTGCTGGAGACTCTTTGAAATTTAATTTCCAGAAATGCTAGTGACAAATCACTGAAGTGGAAATGAGAAGACAGGAATATTGGCTAAAAATATCAGAAACAAGAGGCCGGTCTGCATGTCCCCTTTTCCTATTGTGAAACGCGCCTTCTAAATTGAGGACACACGAACTTACTTAACTGGTGAGCTGTTAGAAATAACTCAGGGAAGCTTGAAAATATGGTAACATCACAAAATGCCTCGGAACGCTAAATGGCATGAAATGGTGATTTGGGGACAAACTGCCTGATCACTCTCAAAAATGAAAGACAATGCTTTCCCCAACCTCGAGGGAGAGTCACGGCTTCCTTCGGGATTTCTTCCACCGCTGGGCGCAACATTCGCTTTGGCTATAATAATGTGAGCTTCATTAGAGAAGTGAAATGCAATTGTCTCCACGAGATCAAAGGACGATCTATTCAATAAAGCAACTGGAACTTAAGAATGAAATAATATGAGAAGTTAGAGTTTTATGGTGAATCAACATGTAAATCAGCCTGGCACACCGGCCAACTGCAGAACTGAAGATTAACTTTATTAAGGGAAACTGACAGTGGCCGGAATGATGCGGGAAATCATGAAAAGATACACAGACCCCAAACAACTGTGCACTGGCGTAAACCAGGCAGGAATGCCATCGTAGTACATTTAAATGCACTGCTGGTTAACGATGAGATTAATAAGAAATACAGAGCCAAAAAATAATAGGAACTGTGATTCAACTTTGAAAAGATGGTTTATGTTAAAAATAAATACAAAGCCTGTTATCAACTGTGTATCATCGCATATGACCATTTGGTCCTGAAATCTGTAAGAGTTTTGCTCTTAAATGAAACAGAGAAGTTAGTGCTGTTTGAAAGCAGAGGTTATTACGAATTCTGAGAGCCAGAGCCCAAGCTTGCCGGAAGGAAAGGGAGAGGTGGAGACAGGTAAATCAAACTTCTCGGCACACCAGGGGTTCTGAATTTGCCTTCTTTGCAAATGCTTATTTTATACTTGGTGTTTTTCTTCCAAATGGAAATGACAGACTTTAAAACACCTTCCTGTATATTTCAGTGCATTACATCACTTAAGTCATTTGCAAAATTCTATAAAATTACCCTGAAATCACATCAAGTACAGCAGCGTACCATGAAACTAAAAGAAAAAATAATCATAAAAAAACCACATTTCACACTGCAAGGGGAATATAATAGAGCCCAGGGTCTAAGAATGAAATAGTTACTTCCTTTTACGTTCTTGAATAAAATTTTGCTTACAACGTTCTTCGAATCATGGAAGACAGAGGTTTTTTTTTTTCTCAGAAAATAAAACACTATTTAAAAAACATATGGGTTCAGTGAATTACTGGAAAAAAGAAACAGGAGTAAAAAATAATTATCAAGATAGTAGGAAAGGAATATAAACAATCAAATGAAAATATAAAAATCTTATATGTGAAAATCCTGTGTATATTTAACGATTAATTAATTTTTGTGCTATGGTTACTTTCAAGTTAATATATATACTTACTATATATTGTGTATTCTATATTACTGAACGTTGCATGTATATACACAGAGATCCCACATTTCCTAAATCTTCAAAATATTTTTGCAAAAATCCAAATTTTCCTCAGGATGAATAATTTTTAATATTGATCTAGCTTTGTCACCAAAACCCCTGCAATCTTAGGTCTGGCCTGTGTTTCAGAGGGGGATGAATTATCCTGCCGGTTCCTGGGCCTCCCATTTCTAGGGGATCACACAGCTGTGGTGCACGTAATCTTAAACGTCCTTGGAGGGGCGGCAGGCCGGGACTCGGCCGGTGGGTGCCCCATGGGGTCAGGGCACCCCCTCCAGCTGCGACGCCAGCTTGCCTGCTGCTGGCTCTGGAAAGGGCACTTGGCCGTGGACAGGGCAGGGCCAGAGGCTCCTTTGTTCTCCCGACCGCGACTTCGGTGACTTCTTGGATGTGCAGCGCAGCCGCAGGCCTCTCAGATGTTCGCAAGGCCACGCCTTGACTTGGCTCCTTCTGCTGGTTACCCAAGAGAATCGTCAGGTCACAGGGCCAGGAGAGCACATTTCCCAGCAGACGCCTGGGTGAGCAATTCGGTGCTGAAGACTCAGAGGCACTGAGCTCGCCTTCCTGAGACGCGGTCTTCTTGCCCGGAAGTGGGGCCCACCCTGTCTGGGGACCGTCGTGACTGTGATGCTTCCTATGCCTGGTGCGGCACAGGGTGCACGGAGCACAGAACAGGAGTCTCTTCTGCTCCCGCTCATGGTCATCTTCCTTCGAATGGAGAAAACATTCCCTGGAAGCCGCAGCAGGGGCAGATTGTGAAGCGCCACCTGCGGAGGTAGCCTTGGACCCTCCTTGAAGGCAGTGGCCCTAGAGCGCACATTCCACGTGCCACTCTCCTGCTGGCCGGGCTCCCTTCTGGGGAGTGATTTATGTTGCTGATTTCAGACTGTTGTTCCGGAAGCTTGGCCCTGTGTAGCTTGCAGACCTCTGCTGTGTGCTGCAGTTTTGAAATCCACATGCATTGCTCATGTTCTGTGTGCTAGGGATCCACAGAATAGACCTTGCTGATCCCTCCAGACCCTGGGAGTTACGTGTATTTTAATTCCACAGAGTTCTAAACTATTAGAATTTTATTCTGTTTTGTTTTCCAGGTGAGAAACTGAGATTTTAAAAGCTGGGTAGAGCAAGTGAAATTATACAGAAGGAGAAATACCACCATTTTAACTGATGTGATTTTAGTGTTTTCTTACCTAGCCTGTATTTTCTACAAATATGCATTTTGTTACATATAATTTACATTTATTTTAAAAATTTGAATATAAATTTTTAAAATATTGGATTCAACATATAAATGAACATGGCAAGTACTAGCCACACTTACAAAGATTTTCTAGCTTTTAAAATACAGTGAAGATCATCTCATGTGTTGTAATATGGTATCTTGGAATCTGGATCTGTTTATATCCAAAATATAGGTACATATTTCATTTTAAAAATTGTGTAGCAATCTTAAAAAGATGTGTGTGTGTGCGTGTGTGTGAGTTTGTGTATGTGTTTTGTGTGTATGTGTGCCTTTATATACCATAGTTAGGAGCATTAGTTTTAAAAATGAAGTAATTGTGCAAAAATATTGATATGAAACCCCCTGCTGGATGGAAACTCTATTTCTAATAGTCCAACTCGATGCACATACGGGTCCCTTGGCATGGCCCGCACACAGCCATCTGTCCTGTTGGCGCTGTGCCCACCCACGAGGAGTTCTGCCAGTTCAACACGATGTAGGTGGTGCCACAGGAAGGTCTGAGAGGACAGAGAGTGGCGTGTGCCGTGCACCCTCCTGCGGTTCGGACCTTGGTGGTGGCCCTCATTACTGGGGGAGAAGACTTGTGTGACTTCAATGTGCTCTGTGTCCACTAAAACTCCATTCAAAAATTTTCCAGTGCGCTGTCAGTCAGCACAGTAGTAAGCATTTTGTGCGAGGGAGGAAAGTGAGATGGTTCAGTCTAAGATCTTGTGCCATTTTGGAATGAACACTGTCAGTACGTATTCAAGAACAGGTCACGAATAGCACATAAACAGGACAATTAATTTGCAAAGGGGCTGTGAAGGCCTAGGCCTTGACATATATAATATGAATGCTCTCGGAAAAGGAGCAGCACTGAAAGAATCCACCACTTGCATTTTTGTTCGGTGTTCTCTTGAAGCCGTTTTCTACAGAATGTGTCAGTTCCACTGCATATGTATGCTTCAGTTCTCATACTATTTTCTTCTGGGGCGCGAATACAATTTATATATTATTGTACCACTGTTTTCTATCAAACTCCTCAGAACTTGCTATAAAGTCCTTATGATATTAAAATGCACAAAGTAGCCTACTCTCCATTGTCCTGTACTTTTCTTAGCAGGAAGGCAATGCACAAACATTTGTAAGGGAATTCACAAATATTTCTGTACAAACTAGAGTGACGAGTCATTCTGTATCCAAAGAACGAGTGGTGCCAAAAATCTGCAGCCTGACCTGCATGCAGCATTAAGGTGTTTTCCTGAGCCCCCGCCCCCATAGCTTACTACTGGTCTATGTACTTACAAAGAGAAATAATTTAGGAAGAGAAAAACTGTCAGTGCACAGGATAAGAAATTCTATTTCTAACCTTATTATCTATTGTCAAAAGTTGGCATAGGAAGAGATAATTTTCATCAATTTATTTAGCCACATACTCAACCCGTATTCACAGAGGACACACAATGGTCCAGGACAAGGGAGGCATTAAAGCTGGTAGAAGGAGGGCATAGGCCAAATCCTCCTCAAGCTCTCTCCGTACTCCTGCGAGTGCAGTGGTAGTTCTTCCTTTCCCATCCCATGACACTGGCAGCCCTCCACCCCCCCATACCTACAGGCTGGGATGCTCATGGAAAAGTTCATGAAGCTTGCAGAAATGTATCCCCAAGACTGTGATGACAGGACACAGTTTAGTACATTTTAAGAGGGTTGTCATGGTGACAAACCTATGTTGTATATTCTAGTATAATTTGGCCGTGCTTTAGCTTTTTGCTTTTATTCTTTCTCAGTCTCAGTTGACTTCTCTGCAAGAGGAGGTAGTTTCCTATATTTCCTGGGTTTCAGGGAGGATTATGGGGCACATATAAAGGGCTTCACCCAGAGAAGGGGCTCGAAGTTTCCGTTTGATTATTTACCAAGCTAGTGTCACTGGGGTACAGATGATGCTTCTTCTTGCAATTGAAGTCCATCCCCCTGTTGTAACAGATGATCTGAAATAGGCTACAACCGTTCACAACTGGGTTTGTTTCTTTTCAAAATGTTTTTTTGTACATTTATCCCTACAGAAGTGTCAGCTGCTTAAGAAAATGAAAACAAAAAACCAAACGTCAAACTTACCATGGAATAAAAACCACAGGTCCTCGCTTGGTTTACACACTGGTATCCCCTTTCAGCACTTCCTGCATCATTGTTTAGAGACCAAAGATTTCAGAAGGTCAGCATGCATGTGTTTGCTTTTATTTTAAATGTAGCTCCTAGTGAAGGATTGATGACCTGGACTAGTGTTGAGTGTCAGGCCTGGTGCCTGTGCATGGTGACTGAATGGCTTTACAGGCATGAGGGAGTCCAGACGAGCCCCTGAACTCTCCCCGGATAACGTCTACTCATTGGTTGACTGCTGACTTCCCCTAATTCCGCCTCCCCTTCCAGAGCCAAGGGAAATGAGTCCTGTCTGCGTTGTTCACCAACATATCGTTCACCTGCTCGTATAGACAAATACGTCTTCAGTGGAGAGAGATCATTATGCCTGGGAGTGATCAGGAACACTAAGGAGTTACCCTCCTCCAAGAGCAAGAAGCAAAGTCTGAGTGCAGGCAGGGTCACGACGAGTGAAGACTTCATCATAGCTGGCTTTACTGCTGCATACATGCACCCACCATGGTGCCATACCTGCTAGGACTGCAATTCCAGATACTAAGAAAGTCCAGTTCTTTAACTCTAGGAACTTACTATCCAGTGGAGATTCACTACATACACACACATGTCACACACACACGTGTTCTCATGCAGCAAATCCACATGTTAAGCCAAGTCACTTGCATCAATGCTGGTGGGGCTTAGGGGCGTAGAAGATCTTTATGCCTATAGTTGTAGGAAGACTTAGGACAAGACATGGGGTTTGGGCCTGAACGTTTGAGATGTGTTGTAGAAAGGAGTCCCGCCCCAGTAGAGAAAGCCAGGTCTGTGAGTGCTCTGGTCACCTTCGGTCATGATGGTACAGTCAATAAAACCATGCTTGCTTCCAGTATGAGGCATGTGAGAAATCCACCTAGTTTCTCTGGGCCTCCTTTCCCTCGCCGCTGAAATCAGAAGGCGGGCCCTTTGGTTCCTCTCAGCTGACTCGAAGGCCACGTTTGGCAGATACAGGTCTAGAGTGACAACGCTATGCCAGCAGCTCCTGCACCATTACAATTTCAGGCAAGTCTTTAGAGCTTGCAGATGAATGATTTTCTAGGAGCTTAAGCTTACTCTTTTTCATCTGTGAAATAAGTTACATTAAGGTAAGGCCCTAGCAAATACCTCACAGCCTTGCTAACCTCCAACTCGCCCCTATCAAATGGCATACTAAAGATGTCTTTGGAAGGGAATGGCACTGCCCAAATAAAGCGATGCCTGTTAACACTGGCCGGGAGCCCTTTCCCAGCAGGCAAGAGTTCCTGCTAAGGCTCTGGACCCAGTGCTGTATGTCTTGCTTCATGAACGCCCCATTCATACCGTAGGATACAGCTACCAGCGCTGCTCTCTGTGTGAGGCTTGGGCAAAGGTTCTCATACTTGGGAGATCGGAACAACTCAGAAATGCACGTGGAAACTGTCTCCTTACTGAGGATCTCCTTAGGGTTTTGATCGAAATGTTACTAAGATTTCACAACATTTTTGTTGCTGTTAAAAATCAAACAAACAATTCAAATATGAAGGCTCAAAACATAATATCTGTTGAAATGTCTTGGATATTACTGCTATATTACTTTCAGTAATCATACATATTTATTATGGATTCTTGGACGCACCTCAAGAAAGCTTTCTTACTCAACTTTAGATGACTGAAGTGATGGATAATAGGCATAATTTAGCCTGGCTATTACCAGCTGCCAAGTATGACGTTGGATAGGCAGGACTCCCAACATCATACTTTTCAAAGCCGCAGCATGCACTGTGACCTCATGCCCCTTCACGGACGCCACTGACTGAGGAGGCTCCCACCCCAGCTGGTGGAGGAAGGTGGAGATTATTTCTGCGGAAGATGACGCATCTCCGCTCTTCTCCATGCAGGCTCTTAGGGAAGCTTATGGAAAGCACGCAACATCTGTTAAGATTATTAATATGTACCTGTCATTGTCACAGGCAGTTGAGGGGACTGTTCTTCACTCCTCTACCTGGATATGTTTAAGGAAATCCCTATATGCCTCAAGACACCACCTCTGAAATGAGCCTCGACTTTGCTGATCCACCCTTACATCATGTGGACCTCCCTGCGCTGGTGTTGAATTACTGGCAGGAGCCTGCAGAAAATGTGTAAGGGTGTGGAGAACATGGAGTTTAGCTAAGTCAGAAAGGAACGTCAATGGATTCATTAACCATCATCCCCAAAGTTGTCCCTTCGAGGTATTTATCAATGTATTTGAACTGCAGAGTCATAAAATATGCTCAAATATATTAACTATGGCCTTTGTCCTGGATATGAGGGGAAATTTTAATATGTGCTTAGATTTTCATTTTTAATTACACAGGTGACTGCTTGAACATTCCCATTAACATGAGAAGTTAAAATGTTTATTTAATAAGTTGAATTAATCATTGTTTTTATAATTTCATAAACAGACTGAGTGAGTCTTTAACAACACATCTTTTAAACCAGTATGGTCACTATGGAGTTATCTGCCTTTAAAACAGAAGTCTAACACTAAGCCTAATTCTAAGAGAAGTCTAAGTGATGGGGCTGCTACAAATTTGCAGATAAAATGCCTTGAGACGTCACTCTAACAAGACTTGCATGCTATTAGTATTCTCTCAGAGATCAATTTTAAAAGTTGTAATGTAATAAAAAATGGTTGGACTATATTTCCCCACAGCTCTCATTTTATTATGTTGCATGAAATATGCCTTTATTGGCTATAGCATTACTGGAAGTAAAATATACTGGGTACTGAAAAATTCTGTCACTTTGTGTTAGCTGTAAATTATCGACTAGTATAAACCCTAATTTCATTTGTCACATTCTGGTGCATTGCTGCTCTCCACTGTTCCCATTCTGTCATTCTGGCAGGCCCGCGCTGCCCCAGGTATCACGGCACCGCCATCTGCACCCGACATCTGTCTCTCTATTGATCACACGGGTTTAGCACTTGATCAAACAGAGCACAACAGAATACATCTCTTTTTGCAATGCTGCCAATGCCAACTGCTGCAGGAAATCGACTACAAAGCCTTCTTACCTGGCTTGGGAACTGTGTTCGTGTGGCTCTGCTTTTACTCCCAAGCTCAGCATTTCCCCTTCTCTGGCCTTTCCCTGTGCAGCAGTTAGATGAAAATAAATCCAGTTTTTTTGTTTGAGAATCAAGCAGGCTACGTGGGCCCCATGTCACTGATGACAGTGGGAATAACCCAGAGATGTCGCCCTAACAAGACTTAGAGAGTTACAGAAATAATCGGTGCTTTTTAGGCCTCCCTAAATGAGTGTCCTTGTCCCCACTTCATTACGTGTCTGCGTGTTTGTCAGAGAGGAGGAAACCTTCAGCCAGCAGAGGGTTTTGCTCTTCACCCAGCTGTGCTGGCGCGGTGCGGCAGCAGCTTTTGAGTTGTCCAAGCCAGGAGACGGATGCTCCACGCTGGCATGAGGTGTCTAAGTGCATTGGAGCCACCTCTATTTCACCTTGCATGGGCAGCCCGGGAAGACGAGGGGGCGGTCACAGACACCCTGCTACCTGCAGGGAAACAATGCGCCCTTCCAAGGGGCTGCAGGACTTCACTCGTGTGGCTCTCACACACCTTAGGGTAGGACCACGTGCACAGTGATGAAAACCTGTGCCAAGACGTTGCAATCGCAGCAGCACAATGGAAAGATAAAGCTACGCGGAGGTATTCACGGGGTGTAAGAGCCACAGCAGCAGCATTTTCAGCTCCCAGAGACACAATAGTAGGATTAAGGTATGCAGTTATTTTTGTTCTCATATTTTCACACTTTCCACAGTGAGACAAATTGTTTCCAGGGAGAATATCTTACACCTGCTGTGTAAACAAATAAATAAAAATGCCCTTAAATTTTTAAAGACAGATAGCCATATCATGTTTAAAACCTATTCAGTATCTTACTAGCCAGAGATTGCATACTTTATTTATAGCCTTACAAATTACCTTGGGGGAAGAGGGTAGAGAAACAGCTACAACATTAAAAATGATCAAGTTTTTTCTTTTAATTTTAAATGAATTGTGGTGGTTATAAAATTAGAAGCCCTTGTTTTTAAAAGAAAGCGGTATTAGTTACATCATAAGACAAGTGGATGTGGGGAATGTATTATTCATAAGATGTTTTGTAGCCAAATACATTAGAGTATATAGTGGTACCAACAAATTAATATTTTAAAGCTAATTGAAATTGTTCTTCCTATAAAGATTAAGCCGCTTCTACCCAACACACTTCAGTCATTAAAATAACACTTTTAATGCCTTGTCTAAATGATGTCTGACATTAATACAAAGCTATATTAAGGCACTCAAATGACCAGTGCTTTTGTGATGTATTCTATATGATTACACGCTGGGTCAGAGCGGGCAGGGCGCGTGAAGTGGTATCAAGTGGAAGCTAATTAAAATATATTCTCCACAGAACTTTACAGAAAAAAGAGACCAAGAATCATCAGAAGGTATTCTGGAAGTGGCATTTCTGAAAGGCTTTCTGCATGCTTTCTTCTCCCGCGTGTGGGTACTTTTTGACATAAAGGTTTTATTGTAGGCTCAAAACTTCAGTTGGAAAATAGTTTTGCTTTACTATGTCAATAAAATCCTTGCAAAGTCTTGCAAATGCCTCTCTAATGTAATTTTTATTTCCTAGAAAATCGAGTTATATTTTCAAAACAACAAAGGTTTTCAGTGTGCTTCCATGTTGGCATTCATTTACATGCTTTCTTGAAAACAGGGCTGGCCTTCCCCATCTGAGCTGCTACCGGGGCTGCCACCACTATCACTACAAGCACGCACACACAGGAACGCGTGTACACACATGCCCAAGAGAGGCACACGGAGGAGCACATCTACGGCAGACTTGTTTGCTGTACAAAACTCCCAACAGTAGGTACTTAGCTCTTCAACAGCTAGGGCCAATTTTGTAACAGTCATGTTTGGGCTTACAAATCACGTCCTGTTTTTGTTCTCTGTAATCCCTTGGACACATCTGTGTTAACACACACACACACACACACACACACACACACACATCTCCACGGATGTATAGAAGAAAAATTCTTCACCATCACTTTTCTCTTACAACTCACATTTCTAATATTCTTGTTGAGAAAGTAGATCAAATTGAGCATGACAGGACATAGAACAAGAATTTCCCGCATAATCTTCACCTTTATAGACAAGGATCTACATAAAGTCATGGCCACTGACACCTTTTACTCAGCGATTTTTCATTGATGTCACTTTGTCTCAAACTTTTCACTTCTGCATGGAGGAGCTGGCGCCCCAGCCTGGCTTGCTCTTCCCTGCTGTCTAGGATAAAGCTCACATTTATGAACGGATAACTCTACCTCTGGTGCTATACCTTTTCAGTACAGTAGACTTAAGCAATTATTTACAAAGCCAGGTGAATTGAGACAGAGCTGAGTATTTGTTTTTACATTAAATAACTCTGAATTAGCTTTTAATATAACCCTCTCATCCACAGAAATGAACAATTACTTTCCACCTTATTATGGTAAGAAAAATGCATCCTTACTCTATCATGATTAGAATTTGCCTGCATTCCAGCTTAAGCTTTTAGATTCAAAGGGAATTTTGTGTTGACCCTAAACCAAAAACCCCACTCATCTTACTAGAAAAAAGCAAGTGGATTTCATGTGTCTTTATTCTTATAGTACTGGTAGGAAACTCAAAAAGATGATGACATTTAGTGTTGTAATTAGAACCACAGAAAAACATTAGTCAAAGAATATGTTCACATTATGTGTAGGAAACATGAATCAAAATCTAAAAGTAACTATTTTTAAGCAGCATACTATAAATGCTAACAGACTCAGACTGAGTATGAATACTTGTTAAAACAGCAGTATAAAATCTAATCTTCACTTTAAAAATGATGCCATTAATTAGGAGTAATTATTTGGCCTGAATAGGAATTAAAATGTTTTTATTTCCTTATTTAGTGACATGTGAGTCATTATGGTAAGAAAAATACGTCATTACTCTGTCATGGAGCAGTGGACATACAGTGTAGATCAGTCAGGAAATACGATGGTTTTTAAACTAATGTGTCTTTAAACTGTAAAGCTGAGGAATCAGATTATCAAACATTGTTTTGTGGTTACATGTACTTTGAACTTACTGTCTAGTGGCTGCAATATCAGTCATTTGCACTTTAGAAATCCAAGTTCCTTCTTCCTGAACCCACGGCTGTGTTTCTCTGGTGATAGTGCTTTCATTAGTTGGCCTCACCTAGTAACCCCGGGTCCAAAAGGAATGAGATTTCTCGTGGAACTGAAGTCTGCTCCTGGGTGAGAGACGTCACCTGCCCCAGGGCTCCCAGGAGCTGTCCACAGGAGGCTCTGTGCTTGAAGTCCGTGATGTGGTTTCTACCATGTTCAAGTATTTAAAAAAGTCAGGCTTTCACGCCACAAATCTCATATTAGAATTTAAATCACTGATCTCCAAAAGCTGGGATTTCAGCTCCCAGCACATCACCAGGTAACGAAGAAGTCACTTGCCATGGCAGAGGCTCCGGTTATTCCAGGCACCCAGGGCCCCTCTGGTGGCTCTGATAGTGAGAACCCCTGGGGAGGGGTTACAGCACTGGGTGACCCTCAGCCCTCAGGTCAGCCCTACTCAGGTGTGTCTGAGGTGCCCCCAATACACTCAGAAGCCACATGTCCGCTGGACACCAGAGATGTGTGTTTGACGCACACAGAAAAGGATTCTAAGCTTTGCACACCAATAGCTATGCGGTGAAACATTCCACTCAGGTGCTTTACACAACCTGCACCAACCATCCTAGTGAAATTCTAAATGATCAACAACCTGATTTTAGATCTACCAGAGTATTCAGGGGAAAATCAGTTTTCTAGAATCAAATATCTGTAAAGAGGGGCAGAACAATATTTAGACAATGATATGGCGGACTAGGACCGCAGCCAGGTGACGGAGGAGGAGAAGGCTGGACGAGCTTTGGATGTGCAGGGTTTTGAAATCCCTCCTAAATTTCATTTCAGACAAAGTGGTTAATTATTAAAACAGAGAGCTCTGTTTGCTTATTCTATATAGTTATGTTAAAGCATAAACTAAGCAGTATTTAAAACATTCTACAATGACAAGAAAGGAGGAAATATGTACAGGGGCTTTAAAATATGCGTGGAGTCACCACAAACAGCCAACTGTTTCCTGTTTATGACAAAGGAGTAAATAATCCATTGATCGGCAGCAGGCACCTGCTTCGCTACCAGCTCCATCTCAGTAGTCCCTGAACCCTCATTATTTTTCCTCAATTAAAGTTCATAGTCTGGGAAAGTCTGTGCCGAGCAGATGTACAACTGTTCTTGACGACGGAGCACAGAAGAATCACAAATTTAGAAAACTACTGCCATTTCATAAACCCCAGAATCACATCATTTGTTGTGGGGAAGAAACATTACAAACAATATGTCTCTTTTATAGGCTGCTAAGCCGGCACATTACAGAAAAGAATATTAAAGTTCAAAAACTGTCACACGAGCACTAGATTATGAATACAGTAATGCATTTTTTTATGATTCAAATAATGGTAACTGAAATGAAAAAAATATAAAATCTTCACTGGGTTATCACGTAAAAATTGTGACTCAGAATTAGATAAAATTGGAAATAAGCACAAAACCACACACCAAGTAATGATCTGTAGAGAACGACAAAAATGCAATAACGAATGTATTTCAGAAAGAGATTCAATTGATGCTGGTTTTATTTTCATCTTTTGCATAATCTTGAGCCTTCTGAGCACTGATCATTAAGGCAAATCATTTAAATAGAAAATGTCACAAGAATCCAGCTTCAGATATAACTACCAGACACTTGGCTGAAGAACTTTTTTAACAATCTACCTAAGGTCAAATACCTCGGCATCATCCATTACAAAGCTACGTGTAAGTAGGGCCTCCGTCATGCACAAACCTGGCTTTGTGCTGGAGACAATGAGGGAGGGAAGCGAGCAGTCAGGGAGACGCTTGTTTCAATTTTAATTTTAAAATGTTATCTCCATGCGACACTGGAGAGCGTATTTTGCAGTAAACAAGATGAAGTCCTCCTTCCCGGAGCCTATATCTGCCTCCACAGATTTGGGGCCCTGAGGTCAGAGTGCACGCTCTGAGCATCCACGCTGCAACGGTCATTTCCGTTTTTTCTGGGAAGAATGCGTTCTTGTTTCCCACTGTAACATGCGTTCTTTCTGCCCTCCCTCCGTGTTTGCTACTACCACGACAGTGAGTATACCTACACATTAACGGACATATTTTAATTCTATCTTAGCTCTTAGTCTTGATTATCATTCTTTCTATTTAACTGAGACACAGTCATTGTTTCCTGGCCAGACTGACTCCTGTAATCCATGAATCCATGGTGGATTTCTTGGGTAACCACAGTGCAGTTTGTGAAGGTACAAATAAGTTAATGTGTACTTCTGAGCATTGGTGAAAAGGTTGAGAGTCAGCACAGCGTGGTGAGTGGTAGGGAAATATTGTTTCTTATTCACACTTTCTTACAATGACACCTGCCTAACACAGAGAGTACTTGGAAGAATCAGCGAATCTGGCTGGGAGTCTTCCTTCCACTCAAGCAGAGGCCACTTGCGGCGCTCATCCCTGGGTCATGGGGTCACGGTGGGCTCTATGAGGACAGCCCTCTCAGACAAAGGGTCGAGTGAGCAGAGCTGGTACCAAAAGCCAAAGCTCTCTTCAGCTTTGTTTCAGCTTAAGCCTTTTTTCAAGAAAATCCTCTTGGTATATTTCCCCCAAACTGAATTTCCTACATTTACATTTAAAATGTCATTGCTGTTTCTAAGATATATTTCACCAATTTCCCTCTTGGCAAGATTGGCAGTGCTCTGCTAGGGTTGTTCCTCCCACCAAGCAGACTGTGAGCATTGAAGCCACATGAAACAGTGCCGAGTGTATTCACCTGCTGCACGTCATCAGAGGTGACAAAGGCAGTGGAGTAAGACCCCCAGCTTCTCAACCACCCCACAGCAATTCTGAAGGGCAAAAATAATTTCCCAATTCACAGTTTAAAACTGTACATTTAAAAATTTGCTAAAAAATATAAACACTACTCTAATTTCATTTCTCTTGAATAGTACTCATTTTTAAATGTAGAACAACACAACTGCAAATACAAATTATAAAATAAAAAACTTTTGCTACGTGAGAGTTGAGAAATGAATTTTTCCAATTTATCATGTAATAAAGCAATTTCATTCCTGACAAAATACACGTACAGGCTTGAAGGTGGTAGGATATTTAGTAGAGGCAAATAAAGATGTGGAACCCAGACAGACATTTAGTGGTACACCACACCGGAAATGGTAGGCAAGTTAATCAAACTCTGAATTAAAAAAGTATAAATAACTGCATCGAAAGGGATTATTTTTTAGAAGTTCAAATAAAGCGAGCACGTGTGCATGCGCGCACGCAAACACTCATACACACTGTGGTGTCAAAATGAACATTAAACTTGATTTTCTTCTGTCTTAACCTTGACAAATCATTACCAAATACTAATTTCTTACTCT